AACGTTTTTGTCTTGTCTGAATTATTTTAAATAATTGAAAACATCACTCTGATGGCCAACACCACAAGGCACCATGTAGTGAACTCAGTAAAAATCAAGAGTTGTGACCTGAATTTCAAACCCAGCCTAAGTAGCTGACCAAAAGAATTTGAACATTCTAACTCAGAGACAGTTGCTGGGTTTTGAAAGTAGAAAATCAGAGATCTTAAGTCTGCCCATTCCACTTTTACCCACCTCTTCAGGCAAACCCCTTTCTATGCTATCAAGGGGATCCATCTGCTTCGCTCCCATCTTCGTGGGGCCTTTCCTTCAGGCTCCCTCACAGAATCAGCTGGTCTTGAATCTGACTCTGCTAAATACAGACCCCATTGCACCCCAGTTCCTTCCTGAGCTTCCCCTGGACAGAGCACCCATTCTTGACCTCTGTTTATGAATACATTGGTCTAGTTCAAACTCTGATTCAACCCCCCAGGCTGGGATGGCATCCAACTTGAGTTAGGTATGGTGCTGGAAACGATCTCCTCTTTTGTCAGTGTTGAACATTTGTGGGCATTTGTCCAATGTCATTGTCCTAAGAATTAGATTAGAAGAGAGCCTGCTTTGTGACTGTCCTATTCCTTTTTTTGGAACTGCATTTTATCTTGCTCTGAACATTACTTCTTTCTTCATGCTCTTCCAAGTTAAAGCCAAGAAGACACCGTGTATGCTAGTCATCCAAGAACAAACCAGACTTAAATCCATTTGGGTTCACCTCTCCATTTCCTACCGTTTTTAATCCAAACTCTGAAGCTCAAATTCCTGTTGTGAGCAAAGAAACTTACCATCATTTGTTGGACAAAAAGAGCTGAGGCATAGAAAAGTAATTCTTACACTGGAGAGTCAATCATGCAGAATCCCGAGTGTCATCCCCAGAGAAGCCAATACAATAGGTCTGTTGTGAGGCCAAAAATCGGCACTGCAAAAGGCACTCCAGGTGATTCCAGACTGGTGGACCACATTTTTGAGCCAAAGAGAAGGTCAGTGCAGTAAGAGCTGCAAATAGCTGGAGCGGGGGCAGAGAGTCCCAGGGAACTTGGTGATATGCAGCCACCTGGGGGTTGAAGGCCCTGGTCGGAGGACAGGTCTGCAGAGCATGGAGATGTCTGAGGTCTGTTGATCCACCTTTGGGCTGCTGTTCCCCACTTGACCCCAGGCAGCAAGGAAGGGGGAAGAAGCAGCTGTTGTTCCAAACAGCAGGCAGTAGCCTGATTTCCCAGGCTCTGCTCTCACTCCTCACCCTTAGGGCCATTTCATGCCTCACCTGTAAACTCAGTCTCACTCTCAGTTGCTAGAACTAGCAACAGGAAGTGGGGTGGAGGCAACTTCTCCACCCTCAGTGCCTGGTATCAGAGCTGGTGGTCAGACTAGGACCGTGTGTAATAGGACAGTAATCCTCAGACTTTTTTGCTTGGCATCCCTCAAAATAATTTTTAAAACAATCTCACTGACTTCTAAGTTGACATCTAATATTTTTCATCATACATTTAAATAGTTGCAAAGGATGTACTTTGTGGCTTGTTGTATATTTTGACATTTTTAAGTTGAGCTGTTACATGACTCTTTTAAATGTACTAAATGGAATCTAAAAGTTACTATAATTTGGTACCTACCATTATTCATTCATCTATTTAAAATAGACATGAACAAGTCCTTCTTTAAATAATCAGAAATTTTATCGCAATTCGTTTTCCTCTTGAACTCATATTTCCATCTGACTTCCCCCATATAATTTCATCCTAATATAACATATTTTTATTCTTTTAGTCTTTTGACTATTCCATCATACTTACTTTCTCTACTATATATGGATATATAGAGATATAGATTGTTTATGTATAGATATAGATACATAGATATATATAAAGTCTGACATTTAATGTGTTTTTTTGTTTTATTAAATTTTTTGTGTGTGTGTGTGAGGAAGATCAGCCCTGAGCTAACGTCCATGCCAATCCTCCACTTTTTGCTGAGGAAGACCGGCCCTGAGCTAACATCTATTGTGAATCCTCCTCCTTTTTTTTTTCCCTTTTTCTCCCCAATGCCCCAGTAGATAGTTGCATGTCACAGTTGCACATCCTTCTAGTTGCTGTATGTGGGACGCCGCCTCAGCATGGCCCGACAAGTGGTGCGTCGGTGTGCGCCCGGGATCCGAACCTGGGCGGCTAGCAGAGGAGTGCGCGCACTTAACCACTAAGCCACCGGGCCGGCCCTAATGTGTTTTTTATAATTTCCTATGACCAAATGGATCTAAGATTCAAAAAATGTCTTCTGAATTCAGTTATCACTATAATTTTGGTAACATAAATATATTACACGTATACATAAATATATTACAAATCATTAAACCTAAAAAGTGAATTATATTGGAAATGCATCTCTTAATGAATAGAAGTTATTCTAGTTATTTCTGTGGATAAACAGTACTTAATCTTAGAATGAGTTAGAGTTCAGCATCAATTGTCTTAATTTTTCCATTTTTGTATATGAAAGTCCTGAGAAATCTTAGTCACGTAAATAATTATATGAGAGTGGAAGGGATTTGTTATAGCAATGCTATTCAATTCTTTGAACCCTTTCTGAGCTAATTTTAATGGTTTATCAGCTGACAACTTGATTATGTTCTTGAACTTTTTAAAGCAAAGGATCAGAAATCATAGGAGTTGCAAAAGTTTCATTGTGCAATCATAGAGACATTTAATTTCTCACACCAATCCCAGGATTTCAAATAGTCCCTTGGTGCCCTATAGTTTTTTAAATTTTCGGGCATGCTTTCTTGATGGGGCCAAAAATTGGTTCTTGAGGGATTAAAAAAATCTCTTTTTATGTATAAAGCACAGATATGCACACGGTACATGGACAAATATACAGCATATATATATGGCATTAAAATTTCATGATGAGGATGATTAGGAAAAAACATCCAGAGCCTTCCAGAAGGCTCCTTAGGAGGCTATGATGAAAAACAGGTTGAGAAACACTGCTCAAGGGCAAGGCCCCATTGTAAAATTTGGAATTGATGAGAGTTACACTTTTTCCTTAAAGCAGGAGAAGGGCATTTGTGGGAGGAGAGTGCGAAAGGGAAGCAGCTTCAGCCACAGGCATGTTCTAAGACAGATTAATTTTAGGAAAGAGTACATATAAAAGTTAAGATATGTTAGATGAATTAGTATTAAGTAAGTGCTGGAACATAGTTAAGTGATAAATTTGAGTAAACACCATTATTATTATCATCATTATCACTATTACTATCAATATTATTATTACTATATGGACATTCTGAGCATCTGGAAATTGATTCCTTTAAAACTATAAGATTCTTTATATCCCATGGAGGATATTTATCCCCCAAGGAAACATATCTCACTTTCAAGACCACTGAGTTAGGATAGAATCAGATGCTTATAATGGAGACCCAAAGTAATAGTGGTTTCACTAGATAGAAATTCACTTCTCTGTCACGTAGAAGTTGGAGCTATTGTGGTGGCTCCTCTCCAGCTGGTCAGGGCCCCAAACCCCTTGTATCTTGTTGCTCTGCCAAAACCCAGGATTTTGCCCTTACATGCATGATCACTCTCATCCTCCCCTCCAGCCCCTGGCAACCACCATTCTACCTCTTCTTTTATGAGTTTGACTTTTTTAGATTTCACATAAAAGTGAGCTGTTAGTGCTGTAGAGTCAATTCTGACTCCTAGTGACCCTGTGTACAACAGAGCTGAACCCTGCCCTGTCTTTTTGTGCCATCCTCTCACCCTCCGGGGCTATACCAGACAATGCACGCTAGCTGCTATTTATAGGGTTTTCACAGCCAATTTTTTCAGAACTGGATGGCCAAGTCCTTCTTCCTAGTCTGTCTTAGTCTGGAAGCTCTGCTGAAACCTGTCCGCTATAGGTGACCCTGCTGGTATTTGAAATACCCATGGCATAGCTTTTAGCATCAGAGCAATATGCAGCCACCACAGTACGACAACTGACAGACAGGTGATGTGGTTCTCTGACCAGGAAACAAACCGGGGCCATGGTGGCAAGAGCACCAAATCTTAACCCCTAGACTACATAAGAGTGAGATCATGCAGTATTTGTCTTTCTGTGTTTGGCTTATTTCATTTAGTATAATGTCCTCAGGTTCATCCATGTTATCACAAATGGCAGGATTTCCTTCTTTTTTAAGGCTGAATAATATTCCATTGTGTATGGGGTACCCCATAACCTCCTCCTATACCACCTTCCCATACTAGATAATTAAAAATTAACTGTACAAGTAATTTTGAAGTACCAATTGACTGCTTTCCTAATGTCTTAAGACCAGCAGGGAAAGGGAGGAGAAATCAGGGAATGGAATTCACATGATTCTTAGGAGTGTATTATGTGGAGGCTGCAAAAAAAATTGCGAACAAGCACATAGAGCTAAAACTGCCTTTGAGTTCTAAAAGGCTACAGTGAGCCCTAAGATAAGCTGAATGTGTGATATAATATTATTTGATGAGAAACACATATAGATACATGTTATGGCTCTTTCCAGTTAGAAGGAGAGTCTAATTCTCATGGCAATATTTATATCTAGGTAGTGGTAAATAATGATGAGTTAAAAGGGATAGTTTAAATTCAGTTGATAGTAAAAAATAATTTTATTAAAACAAATTTGGGGGCCAGCCCACTAGCATAATGGTTAAGTTCGCATGCTCTGTTTCGGCAGCCTGGGGATGGTGGGTTCCGACCCCGGGCATGGACCTACATACCACTCGTCAAGCCATGCTGTGGTGGCGTCCCACATACAAAATAGAGGAAGACTGGCAACAGATGTTAGCTCAGGGCCAATCTTCCTCACCAAAAAAACAAACACCAAATATATTTAGTAAAAAATATTACTAGTTGAGAGTAAATAGTAAAAAAAAAGTATCAATCAGGATGAGTTAAATTATGCTGTAAAAACAAAAAAAAAACCTAAAATCTTTTTTTTTTTTTTTTTGTAAAAAGTGGTTTATCAACTCCATTTTTGTATAAAACACATGGGAGAAATCTAGCCAATCAACACAACTGTTGCCGCACGAAAAGGTACTTTTATCAAACTTCGAGTCTAAGAACGTACAAATGTTTCTTTTATGATGTCTATAGTAATTGTCTATGCTTTTCCATTTAACTGTTTTAAAAATTCCACATATCCCCATTATTTCTTCTCTCAGTTACAGTACAATGATGGGGAGGAAGAGGGTTGGTTAAAACACCTCTCTAAGCAGTTTTCTGCTGTCCCTTCTTTCCAACTGGAGACTTGTGGATGTGAGGAATCATACCACCCCCAGCTATGGTAGCCTTGATAAGAGAATCCAACTCTTCATCACCACGGATCGCAAGCTGCAAGTGACGCGGAGCGATCCGCTTTACTTTAAGATCCTTGGAAGCAGTACCTGCCAGCTCCAGCGCCTCGGCAGTGAGGTGCTCCAGAATGGCAGCACTATGCACTGCAGCAGTGGCACCGACCCTTCCGTGGCTCGTGGTACGAGTCTTCAAATGTCTGTGGATGCGGCCCACAGGAAACTGCAGCCCAGCTCTCTGTGAGCGAGACACTGCCTTAGCTTTGGCCTTCCCACTGTCCTTCCAGCTTTGCCTCCAGCCACGGTCTCGGCCGCTCCCGCCCGCGCTCCCGCCGAGCCGCGGCCGCCGCTCTGCAGCCCTAAAATCTTAACAATGACGAAAAACAGGAATATTTTTGAAAAGCTCTATTCACGGCCACATAAAAGTATAGGAGACTCACTTGATTCATGTGTTTGAAACAATAGGGTACCAATATCTAAACAAAACTTTCTGTGCTAAATTTATTGGGAAGGACAGGGAGCGGAGGAGGGAAGTTCCATCCTCAGCACAGTAGGCTTTCCCAAAGGAGACAGTATAAGGGCTCTGAAGCAGAAGCTTCCATCTTCTCTGGCTGAGCCCAGGCAGAGCCCCAGTGTCAGTTGAGGGAGAAGCCTGGTGAGCAGGGGTAGCATCATGAGGTGAGGTGGCAGTGCTTTCTGCTTAGACATTGAGAGCTATGTCTAGTAAATTACTAAGGGAGTTATTTGTTTAGTCAGTCATTCAGAAACATTTTTTGAATGCCGCTCATGTGGTAGGCAGTGTAATGGTATGGCAGGAAGATAACTGGTAATTATAGTAGATGGTGTTATCCTGATTCTGGAAGTAGAGGACCACAGAACACATATTAGTTATGCGATGATCCAGCGCCTGGGTGCTCCATAGGTATTTGTTATTGATGGTGGTGGTGGTTTAAGTGTCGCTTTGTGTACCTTGCTGCTTTCTTTTCCTTCATTTCCACTTTGATGGGCAAAGGCAAAGCTACATGTTACTGTGCTGTGACACTCGGGACTCTTCTCCGCTGGGAGCCGAGTTGTCTTCATCATGGATCTTAGGCAGCAACAAACCCTCTGCTTGTTTTCTGCTGTCTTCCAGTGAGGCAGGCTAGCCTGCGTCCTTTGGGATGCTGGGTAAGAGAATGAACAGTACACTTTCCTCATAGGGTTTGCCAGATGACCACAGGTGACAAATGACAAAATTATGTGGTATCCTACCCTTGGTCCCGCTGAGCTCTTCCAAAGTGACTATGAGGGTACTTTCAGCCAGACTAGTGGACTCACAGTACAGGAACGTACCTTGCACACTGCCTCTAGGTGCCCTTGCCAATGGAACTCTCCCTTCCCAGCAGTACCCTCTTCACACTTCAATGCCTGATTGTAATTTTTAAATTTTTTAAAGAAACTTTTTATTGAAGTATAACATATTTACAAATATGATAAAATATTGAGACCATATTCTGCCTTCTAATAATGCTTGGTACATTTTTCCAGATTACCTTCCATGTGTATGTAACTATTTCTTACATAGCTTTACTCAAGGAATATTCCTATTTTGTGTTGTATGTTCATTTAACATTTTATCGTAAATAATTAGAGCATAAGAATACTCTAATGAGAATTTTAGTGGCAATTTTGTATTTGTGCCACAAAATCTATTAAAATATTTTCTCAAAGCCTTTTCTCAAGGAATAAGAGAAAAGTTTTAGTTGAATTTTTCAAATTTCTTGCTCTTAACTCCTGGTTTCTTTCTTATATGAGAACAAAGTCATGACTGCTACTGTATTTCATTGACTCTAAAATGTCCCTCATTGTAAGAGACACCCATTTTATGTTCCTAAGAAAGAGCACAGCTCTTTAACAATGACTAAGACTTTTGGAAATGCCTCTAGAGTGAGATATGCTTTTTAGGTATTACAGAATTCTCTGCAGAACTTTGGGATCTATGCACCATGAGACTATGGAATTCTCTGTCTGCCTTTCTAGCCCTCGGCCTCCTGCACTGCCACACAGTCAGCAAGACCCCACGCCCCCATGCCATAGAATTCACAAATGGGGAGAAATTGTCCTGCAGTTGGAGTTCTTGCAAATTCCAGTCTGTCATGCCTGTCCATATGTCTATTAAAAGATCTCCTAGCTTTTCCTTGCCCCAGAGCCCCTTTGTGCATAGTAGTCCCATGTTCTTCCTGCCAAACTCAGACTTACAAATGTCCCTAGAGGCCCCCATCTCTTCTCACCTATGAAGGATTCATTCCTCTCTGGAATTTGATTTCTTTGGATTTATTTGTGTCTTTTTTTAATGACTTTTTTTTAGTTTACCCATTTTTGTCTCTGTGTTATCGTGGGAGCAATAGTCTGCCCATGCATCTACATCCTAACAGGAAGAAGCACTTTGTAAAAGTAGCTTTTGCCTTCTGTAGTTAGGCTTATATAGTGGAAATTACACTGGCTGTCATTCCACATTCTCTAGCAATTTCTTTTGGATATTATTTGGAATTTTCTTTCTCTCGTGTGCTTTAGCTGAAAATCCAGACTCCCTGAAAATGATTGTCTAATGCAGAAGGTGCAGATTGGTGAATATTACCTGCAGCTATATTTTCTTTGGCCTGTCCTCTGTGTGTGTGTGTGTGTGCATATTTAATTTGAATTTTTTTCCAGTATTTAAATCGGAAGCTTTCACATGAAAATCTCTATGTCCACATCTTCATTTATCAAGAGTGACCTCTGAAAGCAGTGCTCTTGCCCTCCTGCATGGCCGTGAGGGCCTGGAGCTGAGCAGTGGCTGACCCCTTCCAACAGGACGAGCACCCTTATTACCTGCCTGTGGGTATTTGAGGTCGCAACTCCTGATATAATGAGTGAGTGAGTCAGAGCTGACATTAGAGAAGGCACCTCAATGGCATTCCATTGCATTTAGGATAAACCCAAATCCATACCATGACCTAAAAGACCCTGCACACTCTGGCCCCTGGCACCCTTTCTGACCCATTCCCTCCCCTTACTCACTCCATTGCCTCCTTGCTGTCCTCAAACAAGCCAAACACACTCCAGCCTCAGGCCTTGGCTATTTCCTCTGCCCGTGAATTTCCCCCCAGATAGTCAGTCACATAGCTCTGTTCCTAACTTTATCCATGTCTCAACTCAAATATCACCCCTTAGAAAGGATTTTCTTGGCATCCTATCTAAAATAGCACTACTCACAACTCCATACTTTTATCCTACTTTATTTTTGTAGAACTTATCTCTATTTGACTTTTTATTACCTATTTGTTAAATTGCTGGCTTACTGTCAATCATCCCCACCGGGAAATTGGTTCCATGAGGACAGAGACTCTTTTTTTTTTTTTTTTACTGCTGTACCCCAGCAGCTGCGTCAGTGCCTGGCATATAAATATTATCAAATAAGTGGATGCATGAATGGTATCTTTTTTTACTTTATTGGCTCCATAGTTTTCCTCTTCAGAGCAACGAGGAAGTTGAAGTTCATCAATTCTAACATCATTTACAACTTTAAAATTTTGTTCTTCTTACCATAAACCTCCTAATGATTTATAGGTTTCAACCTAGCCTCCCTGTCCTCTTCGAGAAGACCAAAAATGCCCATTTTATAGACAAAAGTAGAGAGGAACGACAACAATTTAATACTAACTGATAAAAGGAAAGACTGGCAGCTTCACATACAACAAAGGAAAACTGAAGCTGAAATGTTCCCAGAGGAGTAAGATGGAGGTAGAATGGAGAAGCGCCCCGACCCATGGAACATCAGCATCCTGATCAAGATAAGGACAAAGAGGCACTACTCTCCCTGTCAGTCTGAAGGGGAGCATATCAGGTGAGCTGGAGATGAGATGCCTGACGCCATTCTAGAAGCCCCAGTGGCTATGGGCTACTAGAACCTCTGTAGGTCCAGACATGGTTGATAAAAATGGATGGAGAAATGAACAAAAGCAGGCTGTAACTCCAGCAGAAGCTGATCAATGCTGTGAGCCAATGTTGACTGCCTCTTGCCCTAGGTCCAGATCTGCACTGTCCAATATGGTAGCTACTAGCTATGTATAGCTATTTAAATTAAATTAATTAAAATTAAATGAAATTGAAAAGTCAGTTCCTTGGTTGAACTAGCTACATTTAAAGTGCTAATAGCCACATGGAGCTGTTGGCTACCCACTGGGCAGTACAGATTATAGAACACTTTGCATAAATTCTCTTGGACAGTTCTGACTAGATGCAGCCAACCACCTGGCTTCCTACTGTCCAGCCCTATATCCTAGTTGCTTTTAACTAGGATTCCCACATTCTCCCTTTCTTGCTATAAGAATCCCCAGTCTGTGAGAACGTGACCATTAAACAAAATGGAGTCATTGGAATCCTGATAAACAGCCCAGGACTTGCTGCAACCTCTCAGTTTTTGAAATGGCTGCTCAGCCCCCAAGTTCCACCCTGGACTCACTTCTTTGGAACTGCTGGGGACTCCAGGCCACCTATGTGTCCTGGCAGCTCAGGTCCTCTTCTGTGGCCTCCCACTGCTCCTAGGAGCCTAGACACATTTCTCAACCGTGTCCTGCTGAGCATTACAAATCACCGTCTATCTTTTTAAAAAAAAGCTAACTCACTGGAGTTACTCCAATTTCACTTTCTTTCTTGGAATTCATGACTTCTTTTGATGTTTATCAGTACTTCACTATCTGGTGTGCTTGCCAAGATTATGTCTAGGTTTTGGTGATGTATCATCTCCCCATAGCTTGTTGCAGGGAACTTCCCACCCCTTTTAGGGGTCCAAAAGATCCATGAGCAGCGTAAGATGGCCAGATGCCAGGAAACAAGGACTCAGCTCTCAGCTAGACATCTTATTCACTCGCACAGGGCTGCTTTGAGAGTCAGTGTGTATCAGGGAAGGATTCCAGGAAGATGTGTGACGTTGGAATAATTACAGAGGTTGCCTAAGTAAGCTAAATAAGCCTAGAAATCATAATTATGGCCAACCCCAGAAAAGGTGAATTTATCTTTGGCTTCCGTCCAAACCCCCGGGGAACCTTTCGCTTTCATTTTACCCCTTGCCCCTTCCCTTGAGCTTGCCCAGGACTCTCTATCATGGCTGCTTGCCCCTTCAGGGAAGCAATTTTGGGCTCTTTTCGTCCCACAGAAATTTACTTCCACACCCATTAGGCTCTGCTGCTTAAGACCAACGAGCTAATAGGACAAGCTAATTTACTTAAAGACAGGAGTCTTTCTCCCGGTTCTAAAGATGGGCTTCGGAGGGCAGTGAAGACTCTAAGATATTGCAATTTTGCGCGTGCATTTTCGAGGCAAAGAGCCATAGATTTCATCAGATTCTCAAATATGTTCATGACTCCAAAAAAGATTGAAGATGTGGCTGGTGAATATTAATAGCTGATCATTGGAGGGAGTTTTCTTCTCAGGTAGTGTTTGCATTTTAACCAGGAGAAACCACCATCTGTTAAATATCTTTGCCTCAGGAAATTATAATAATAGAGTTTTCAGGCCACAGGCAAGAGAGAGAGGAAAGCCTCCTTGAGGCAGGAAACAGCCTCCTATTGCTTCTGAGATCTTCCCAACCACCTCCACTTAGGGTCAAGGGCAACTTCTCAGGGTGGCATTGCCTTCTTTACACTTGAAATACAAAACATTTCCGCTCCACATAAAGAAAATGTAGGCTTTCTTTTGAAATTTCAAAGAAATTAATCAGGCTTAGGAGGCCACTCATTTTCTTCATTACAGATAAATCCTGTGAAGAAGTGGCAGCAGGGTGTGTTGAGGGATCACGAAACAGTTCTAGTCCTCACTCTACCACTCATTTGCTGAGCAACCTTCTGAGAATGACTTGGCTTCTCTGGACTTCAGGTTCCTCATTTCTAAAAAATCTGGGCAGTCTTCTCCAGTCCTGTGATTCTAAGAAAGCTGCCAAAAGTCTACTTTAAATAAAATTTCTGTACTGCCCTTTTATTGATATAGGGAGGTTGTTTTCATATTTGAGGGGAAAATACCCAACCAAATACAAAGTTGTTTTCTTCCTTTTTAATATGTTA